TATTATTTACAATTTGGACAAGAAAGATGGAAGATGGACAAGAAAAGGTCAAAGCCATCAGGTCCTTAGTTTAGAAAAAATGAGAAAAGAAAAGGAGAAACGGGCAAAAGATACAGGTAAGCAGATGTGGCTTTGGGCCAGGACTCTGCAGTCTATTTACACCTACAGGCCAGTGGACACTCTTTCAATGAGGATGTACACATCCTGGACAAAGAGGAACGCTGGTTTGAGTGTAGAGTCAAGGAGGCCATTTACGTGAAAAGAGAAAGACCATCTCTGAATCGAGGAGGGGGCCTATGGGTACATCTTTCACCATCTTACAATGCTGTGATTGCAGCCATTCCCCAACTCTCTGTGAATGGTACTCATGGCCATTGATCAATGGTCTTTGAACAGTGGGCCTTGATCAGTGGTTGTTGATCAATGGTCATGAGAATTTGCATAATTAAGATTAAGGGACTGACCTCCCGGCCCATTGTTCCTTCAGTGGGCTGGTTTCAGTCATTATGCAAATGTGCTGTTTATAAGATTTGGGGAAACCTGCAGTCAGCTGAGACTGAAGAAGTCACTTGGATGAGTGACGAAAGGTTTCTCCAACTAAAAACATTACATACAGATGAACAGAATCAACTTTTGGGGGTTCTATTTTCGTTTGTTAGCCACTTGGCAATGATAGTAAACACTAGACAGACAGTAGACACTGAGGGGGCTTATTGACTCTTTTGGGCTGTGTTCGGCATAAAAATATTTAAGAGGGATTGTTCACCCAGGGCACCAAACACGCCAGCACCACCCCTGCCTGTGTGTCTGTATGTTTGTTCTGTGTTCAACTTGAGAGAGTGTCCTATCACCCAGTTAAGCCAAAGTCAACAGTCCCCAGCATGCGCAGATGGCCTGGAAACATATCAGCACAGTCCAAACACAGTCTCGTTATCAGGGAGAAGAATTTTGCTGTTCCGCAAGCCATAATTGAAGATGGTTATTGTTTGGATTAGTGCTAACAAGCTGTATTTTACACTTGGTCTAATTACCATCAGTGGTCACCAGGTCTATCAATTTCCCATTGAGCAGCCGGGAGCTTCTCCAAGATCTTCTCCATATTGCATTTAATGAGCACTCACAGCCCTTCCCATCACTTCGATCATAGCGACTAGCCTTTTGGAGTTTTGAATAACCTTAACTGCTTTCTTCATTCTTCAATAAGCCAGGGTTGAGCCAGCTCCAATCAGCAAGACCTCTGTTATCATTGTTCCGAATAGGTAGATATCTTCGATGTTCTCAATCGACAGTCCCACCAGGCACATGACACGCCACTTGGACCAACCATCCATCGTGTATCCAGCAGGAAACGTCCCTGCAGAACAGCCGGGCTCTCCCAAACCCAGGCTTCTCGTCGAGAAAAGGGTGTCAATTGCGTTAAGGGACCAGTAGATCAAATCCATATTCTTTAGGTTTTAGAGAACAAGACTGAGTGACTCTCTGAGGGTTAGAAAGTCAACTTAAGTCAACTTCAAGCTGGGCGATAAGACCGCTAGAAACAAACAGGACTAGGAGCTAGTGCAGGACATAAAACTGAATAAACAAAACAGGAAATGAAGAACAATCCAAAATAAAAACAGAAACAGTGAAACAGAGAAAGAAACATTAACCCACACTAGAAGAAATCATCTGATCAAAGTTAAAGATCAGCACAGATCTGTGGGCTCCAAGTTTGAAGAAGCAGTTACAGTGTGAGGAGTATGGAAGCTCTGATTTGTATATGAGCTGGTTCCCAGTAAAGCAGAGGTGGGCAACTCCAGGCCTCAAGGGCCGCTGTCCTGCAGGTTTTAAATGGGTCCTTGATCCAATCCAGCTGATTCAAATGACTAAATGGCCTCCGTATGTCTTAAAGTTCTCAAGAGGCAAGGTAATGAACTAAACATTTGATTCAGGTGTGTTGACCCAGGGTAAAACCTGCAGGACACCGGCCTTTGACCCCTGCAGTAAAGTCTAAACTGGGACTGTGTGTGATGCAGACAGGTGGAGATTGGAGGTCTTGATTGAACTACAAAGCTTGTAATCCTGTTTCCTGTTGTTTGAACTGTGTGTGTTTGTGTTCAGACTTTAAACCAGAGACAGATGTCGTGTACTCTTCACTGAAGTAGTCCACCAGTCCAACCACTGACGTCCAGCTGCTGGTCTCTAACTGGTCCCCCCAGCACCTCAGACCAGAGGACATCCACATGTCACAGATTTTTGACCTACTTACTGAGAATCAGTTAATTAATTTATTATAATGACTAGGGATGGGTATCGCTTAGGTTTTATCTGATACCGGTGCCAAACTGGTACTTTTGAAACAGTGCCGGTGCTTAACCCTTTAAGACCTACCATAGAACCAAGTCCGCCAGAGCTTATATTATATTTTTACATGCTGTGGAGCCATTTTTGGGAGCATTTCAAGTTGCTATACATCAATACAACCATTATAGCCCAGATTTTAATAATATGTATTCATTAAGTGCATAGTAATTACATAAATTGCAAAAAAGTGCAATAAACTACAAAAAATTGAAAATCGTTTTTGTTTTTTTAACATATATTTCTAGTTAGAGAAATTTAAGAGGCTTATCCCTCAAAACTGTAAATACAAAAAAGTTGCACAAAATAGTTTCCCACCACAGGAAATTTATTTTGAGTGTCTTATATTATATATTTTATATATATATATTTATTATAAATATTAGGGGTGCAACGATACACAAAATTCACGGTTCGGTTCGATACTTTGGTGTCACGGTTCGATATTTTTTCGATACAAAAAAATGTTCATGCCTTTTTAATTTGTCATTTATTAAAATTATAAATATATATTTTAACTCAAAAGTACAGTTTTTAAATTTAACCCTAACCCTTGTGCGTGTTTTTTATTTTGACAGCGAATGCGCACCTGCAGACCACTTATGTGCAGCCCTGGTTATTTAGCTCGTCATATTGCAGCCACAGAAATTCTTTTGTCCATGAAACCATAAAGCTGCACTTTCTTTTTGCCTTATAGTCTGATTTGTCATAACTTTTCCGTTTTGTGGTAAGCTTTTCTTTGGCTGTCACTTCTTCACCCTGACCTGTCTTATTTGGCTCAGCAGAACTAAAATATATATCGTGCTGCTTTTACACACGCACTCACATAAGCTCAGCGATTCTCTGCGCGATCAACCTCTCACATGTTTAAGCTTGCTGCGGGAGATTTCACTTGTCATGTTTGCATAGTAAGCTAACGATTAATAAGACGATGTCAGAGGAATTGGTGCGCAAATTATCATCACTCACCAATCAGTACTGTCGCTCTCTATACACAGTTCGCACGATTGCAAAGTGAAAGCAAAAAAACAAGCGCAAATTCAAACACGATTTCAATATGTCACATATTGACAGTGGCTCACTGATGCCAATGACATAATTACCCAGCTAGACAGCCAACACGTTAACGAGCTAACTGCGCTAACACGCTAGCTCCCACCCATGTAATTGAGCATTGCGTGGCACATCCAACATACTGTTTTACTTTAGTCCATGAGCGCTTACCTTCAGGGTCATATGTCACATGAAAACCAAAATAATTCCAAACGCCAGATCTGAATGAGGGTGGGGAGGTCCATGTTGCAAGGAGAGCTTAACTTCTGTCTCGCTAGCTTGCCCTGCGCTCTTCCTTCTGACTATGCTGTCTGTGTTGAGCGCTCAGTGGATCTGCGCTCGACAGTGCAGCCTAGGCGGAGTAGTCGAACGCAGATTCACTGAGCGCTCAACACAGACAGCATCGTCAGAAGGAAAGTTGATAAAATAAATTACAAATGTTGTATTGTTCGATACATATGCGTACCGAACCGAAAGCACTGTATCGAACGGTTCAATATCGATACGAATATCGTTGCACCCCTAATATATATATATATATATATATATATATATATATATATATATATATATATAATAATATATATATATATATATATATATATATATTATATATGTGCATTTAACCTTCAGTTACTCTTTATATAGTTGGTAGGAGTCAGACCATGTTTCTTTTTAGCTGAAACATTACACCAGGTAACCTGCAGTGTTGAAAACGTGTTTTCCGACGATGTTTGCTACCCTACAATCCGTCCTGCTCTGTAGTAAAATCAGCGACATTTGACCGTCCTGTTGCTCCCATTGAAATGTATACAGCCTATTTAAAATCTAAAACTTTAAATTGTCCGTAGCCTGCTGTTGTTACCACTGTCCTGTTTGAAATGGATACTAACTAGCTCGATACTTTGGTGTCACGGTTCGATATTTTTTTGATACAAAAAAAATGTTCATGCCTTTTTAATTTGTCATTTATTAAAATTATAAATATATATTTTAACTCAAAAGTACAGTTTTTAAATTTAACCCTAACCCTTGTGCGTGCCACATGTAATTGAGCATTGCATGGCACATCCAACATACTGTTTTACTTTAGTCCATGACTCGCTTACCTTCAGGGTCATACGTCACATGAAAACCAAAATAATTCCAAACACCAGATCTGAATGAGAGTGGGGGAGGTCCACTTCTGTCTCGCTAGCTTGCCCTGCGCTCTTCCTTCTGACGATGCTGTCTGTGTTGAGCGCTCAGTGAATCTGCGTTCGACTACTCCGCCTAGGCTGCACTGTCGAGCCTAGGCGGAGTAGTCGAACGCAGATTCACTGAGCGCTCAACACAGACAGCATCGTCAGAAGGAAAGTTGATAAAATAAATTACAAATTTTGTATTGTTCGATACATATGCGTACCGAACCGAAAGCACTGTATCGAACGGTTCAATATCGATACGATATCGTTGCACCCCTAATATATATATATATATATATATATATATATATATACATAGTATATACTCAACTATAATTAACTCATTCAAATAAACATAACTGAACTTAAATCAACAGAAATTAAGGTCAAACTGCACACAGCTACACCGACCTGAACCTTTCTCTCGAAACACCTGAGTTCTTCTGCTTAAATAGTCCACTTAACCAAACAATTTCTCCTCTGGACTATTCCATTCAGTAGGTAGGTAAGATGAACATGATTATATTCAAACCTCTACTACTCCTCTTTACTGGCAACATAAACTCTGTGGTGTAATCAATACATATTACAACAATAAATCTATTTCTTTATAAACCCTCTAAAATCAACTTTATTAAATTATAAGAGTTCTTCCCCTTCTGCACTTGGTCTCTTCCTGTGACCTCAGATGAACCCAGAAGGTATAAAGCAGGAAGTAAAACTACATTTCCTCCTTTTGTTTCTGGAAGACAGGTAGGTAAGGTAAGTTCTAAACAATACAAATTAACAGTTGAAATAAAGAACATGTTAACTTAACAAACTTGTAGGAATTGATTTAAACCAAGATGTTATATTATATAATCTGTAAAAGTGCAAAACATAAACAAACCCGGGATAGTAGATGTTTGCCTATTGCACATTACAAGTGAAATATGGTTAAATCAAAACAAGAATGTTAACTAAGAATGTAGACAAATGGTCTTCTCACCCACTTTGTCACAGGCTTAAGAAAAGATTGGGTGCGAGATTGAAATAACCTGCTACAAATTTAGCCTGCACAGGAGGACAAATTTAGGCTTGCTTTTTTTCCATTGCCTGAGGTGACACAGAACACCATAAATATTTACAAAGCCCATTTTTGCCCCTGATGATGACCATCAGAGATGTTCTATGTCTACAGTTGCTAGATGTTCTGGAGAGTTCATTTCTCATTCAACCTTCAGATCACCCTCCCGGAAAGAGTAAAGAGGCTCCCCCTCCTGATTAATATCAGTCTTAGAGTCACACGGTTTTCTCGTGTAGATCAAAAATCCATAAACAGCAACAACAAAAACCACAGCACAAACGGACAGACGAACTATCAGTCTAACAGATCCATCCTCTTCTTCTGTTTGACCTGCAGGTGAGAAACAGGTGTGAGGTGTCAGCTGTCAGGTAGGTGATGAGTGAAGAACAGAACAGAATCCATTTCCTCTTCTTGTATATTAGGTCAAAGAAGAAAAGGTGCAAAATGGGAAGATTTGCATACAGCGGAATTTGTCTGTGCCATTTCATTTAAAAAATGCAGCAGCCATCTTGTTTTTAGAGATGGCTGCCATAAAAACTAACAAAAAAACAACAGCTTACAGTTTCACTATTTTTTCACTCTGGCTGATAAGATGATTTCTATTTATGGAGAAAACAAATTGCCATTTAATTCACCCCTGAGGCCAGGTTAGTGTTAAATTCAATTAATTATGCATCACTAAATTAATTCACACACATTTCTGTGATGTTACGTTCAGTGGTTTTTGCAAGATACAGTTTAAAAAGCTGCACATATAAAACATTTTCCCCCAGCAGAGAATCTACATCACAGTGAACACATGCTGTGAATAACTAAAACTGATTTGATCAGGTTAAAACAGAGACCATTTCTGAAACAGGGCTTTGAGTTAAGGCTCAACACAGCTCACTCAGGCAATAACTAACTCTGTAATATAGTTCTCCAGTTAAAAAACAACAACAAACACACATCAACAACCAGGAAGCAGCTTCACCTCAGATCACACACACTCAACTCTACTCACTCACCTGGAGGAAAAACACTCAGATAGATGATGCTGATGGGCTTCCTTGAGTCTGTTTCTGCCACAAAAACATGACACTCGTATTTTCCATCATCATCAGTCGTCACATCCTTCAGAATCAAAGACACGTCTCCATCTTTGATCTGTCTGTCCTGCAGATCCACCCGGTTCTTAAAAGATTTATGCTGGTTGGCTGGATCAAAGTGACCGTCACGGTACAAAAGCACATATTCTTCTCCCAGGTCAGCTCTGCTCCACTTTACACCTCCGATCTTGTTGTTTGGAGCTCGACATGTCAGAGTGACGTCCTGTCCAGACTCAGCTGGGGTGATTTTCTGGTCTGAAAGAGGAAACAACAGAGTACAGTTAATCTCACTATCTGCAGGTTTTATACGCTTACATATACACACGCAGTTACTGTCCCTCCATTTAGAAAGTCAGAGGCGTCACGGTGTGATTATTTTACCTGTAGTTGTCTTTTTCCTGTGTAATAATATTCAACATTGCTATCAATGCATTTTTCAAAAAATGCCTCTCTTTGCAAAATGGGTTCAAAAACATAAACAACTGTAGGGAAACAAATCGTGGCAGGATCAGCCTGATATTATTTGTATCCCACTGTAACTTTACTGTATAAAGAGCTAACATCTCCAAAATGTCAGGAGTAGTTAGTCATTAAAAGAAGTGTTTGTGAACTAAAAATCATGAATGTGGGATACTGTTTGTCCGTAATTTGGAGAGCCCAGTGCGTGCTCCCGACGCAGGGAAAACCAATTCTGTCGCAGAGACCTATCTTGGCACTTGTGCAGCTGAAGCCCCCCACTTTGGGAACCTCTGCTTTACGCACTGAAATTCTTCCAGGTTCCTTGAATCGATGAATCTGAATCTACTATATTATGCGCTGTTGAAGGTGAAATATCCAAATTTCTTCCTATCTTTCTTTAAGGAATTTTAAAAAAAATTTTCTCACGTATTTGTTGGCACACTGGCGATCCTCGGCCCATCCTTGCTCCTAAAGAGCTAGACCGTTCTTGGATGCTGGTTTTGTACCAAATTATAATCACCTTTTGACATCACCCATTTCAAATCACATCATTATTTAAGCAATTTATCTGAATAGTAGCCCTGAACTGCTGCTCTCCCAACCCTTTTCTGGAATGTGTTGCAGGTCTAGATGACAAGAAATATTTACACAATAAAGGATGTTGACCAGACAAAACATGAAATATGTGTTCATATTGTCTGCAATGAAAGTCAAGTCAAAGTAAATTTAGAAATCACTACATTTTTTTTTAATTTGCATTTTCCATACTGTCGCAACGTTTCTGATTTGGGTTTACAATTCTTTAATACAAATCAGTCACATGTAAACCAGATGGATCGTCTTTATCTCAGATATAAACACCTGTCAAGTAGAATGAAAAAGTTACAGCAGACATCAGTTAGTTTCCCCCACACATGTTTACAGACGAGTTAGAGAGCAAGAGAAGAAGAGACAGATTCATAAATGTCTTTGTTTCTGCTCTAACCAAACAATGCTGCTCTACAACTCTAGACTACCAGCCACAAAGACAACAGCTGGAGAAACATCTGTCTACCTCTGACATCCACCAGCTCATCCATACAACAAACAAACATCAACAACCAGGAAGCAGCTTCACCTCTGATCACACACACACTCAACTCTACTCACTCACCTGGAGGAACAACACTCAGGTCGCTGATGCTGAGCTGCCATGAGTGTGTTTCTGCCACAAAAACATGACACTCGTATGTTCCAGTGTCATCAATCATCACATCCTTCAGAATCAAAGACACGTCTCCATCCTTCATCTGTCTGTCCTGCAGATCAGACCGGTTCTTAAAAGATGGATGCTGGTTGGCCGGAACAAAGTGATCAGTCCGGTAGAAAAGCACATGTTCATCTCCCAGGTCAGCTCTTCTCCACTTCACAACTCTGATGTTGTTCTTTGGAGCTCGACATGGCAGGGTGATGTTCTGTCCAGACTCAGCTGTGATGAATTTATGATCTGAAAGAGGAAACAAAACAGAGCAGAGAGGTTAAATGATTGACTTTAAATATTTTGTTTATTTCTTTTGACATTTGAGTTTTTAGTCATGTTGGATTTAGTGAACCTCTGAACATCCAGCGGGTCACCAGTGACCCACTGAGGGGGAATTTTAGCCTCATGCTAAACATGCAAAGAGTCAGAAACTACAAGATGTTAGCTTCCACAGAACAACAACATGTGCTGATAATAAGTGAACATAATGTGTGAGAGAAAGCAGCCTCTCATTATAAGACACTGTGAGTCTCTGCATGCTGCCTTTATGGAGCTACAGCTGTTTGTATACTGTTACGTCTGGTTCGGTTTGGGTAAAAAGGAAAAACAAGCAGAGTCCGTGGAAGGTGTCAAAAATAGTGATTTTATTACACACTTTTGCGCAGAAAGTGCGGGGAAAACAGTCTTGCATCAACAATCTCCGCCGGGCGGAGGCTTTTCATCCTTATATTACCGTAATGACGTCACACAGTTAGACCTTACTGGAAATGATAACAGTTTGGGCCTGTTCAGAGAATTTACCTAATATGGACAT